TGAAAGCGAATGCGACTCATGCATCTCTTCATAGGAGAATTAAATTAGAGAAAAACACACGATGCACAGCAGAAAACTACACTTAAACACGCTTCGTTGATTTAACAATAAGAGAGACTCAAATCTTACTTTGTGCAGATCAAACGTTTATTAAATACTCGAATGTTGTTTTATCTATGCTAACTTGTATAGGAAAGAAATGCAGTGTTATGAATGTATTGTTGCTTCGTCGTTGGTGGTCGAAAAAGAAAAGAAGTCGACCGAAGGCATATACTTTATTAATCAAATTCGTCTCCTTGTCGATGATTCTATCTTTATCTGCGATTATCAGATATTATGTCAAAGACTGACTTGCCTGTTAATTCTAATGTTTGACTGACATGAAACGAAGTTTATTTTTATTAGATAATGACAAGTAAGATAATTTCAAACAGAAGACTTCGAACTTGAACTGACATGAAAGAAATCAGCATGGAACTACGAAGAAGCACGTCATTTTGCATCGTCATCATGCGTGTCCAACGAAATGCTTGTAATTGCGCAATCAATTTCATTGACGAACATAAATCTTTGTTCTCTAACTCCAGAGCGCTTTTGGAGAACGACCGCATGGATGTTCACAATATAAACAGATCGCTGAAAACGAGAAAGAATCGTAAATAATAATAATAATAAGAAGTATTATTCAGAAATGAGGAAGAAGAGACAGTTTAAACCATTGGCACCATTCGAACAAATTCATGTTTGGAATTGACAAGTTTCGATTTGGGCGACTTTTTTCCTCCGCAGTTCATTGACAAATTGTTCATCCCGAGCAAAAATGCAAATAGAAATTGCGATTGATAATCAATAGTTTCATCAAATAACAAAAAGCGTTTTACATTTCGATTGTTCATAAACAATGGTAGAACAACTTGCCAATATACGTCATGTTTATTATCATCGTTAATTTTTCGTGCTTCTACGAGTAAACTAACTTGATACTTGATTTCTCGGGACAACAAATCGTAAAGATTATAACCTTTGAGATATTTATCCCATACTAATCGATATTCAATATCGATCGCAACGTTATATGATACTTCTGGTGATATATCGACAAAAATAGAGTAACATTTATGATAAAACAAGTTCTAGACACGATTCTCCTCGTTATATGCTTAGTTAGAAATGAGATCAATCTTGATGGGATCGGCGGTAAACGATTATTCCTGGAGTTTGGGAAAGCAGCTTCCAACTATTGCAATTTAGGTCATCGAATTCTCGAATGAGTTCTTCGATACTCAAAGGCGCGTCCATATTTTCACGTTTTCATATAGATGAAGAAAGATACCTCTACTGTTCTTATCTTCTTGTTTACTTCCATGTTTGTTTTTTGAATAGCTCACAGTCCATTGAAGAAAAGTGTTCTATCGAGAGACATTATTTTCACATTTATTATTCAAATCAAAATATTCATTAATATGAGCTTCACGTATTTATCTACATCATTTATTTTCCAATCGATAATAAAAAGAACCGATCAACTATTTAAAGATTCACAGAAGTTCACGGTCAAGCTTTGCATCATTTCATTTGGTTTTTCTCCTCTCATTTTCATCTCACAGTGAGTTCGATTACGAATATCCAGGATGAATTCTTTTTGCTAAAACATGTCAGTTATAATCTAAATAAAGATCATCCAGTTAATGTATTTAATGTCATTTTGATGACACTCATTCAGTGAAGTCTTGAAGAGAACTAATGGAATATCTTTCATGGATGGAAACAAATGACTTTTCATCCTATGATTTGCTATCCTTAGTCTGCTTTTCTATATGTCAGAAACCTAATCATCGGTTTGTTTCATTACCTAGTTTACTTAATTGAATGGCTATGAATGATTGAAATCAATAGTCTTGCAAGACAATCAAATGTCGGATGTATCAGTTTCTTGCCATTTGACATCACTCTTCCTCTTCCTTTTACCCTTGATCTCTTGGTATATATACGCACATACATCTTCATAGAAACGGATACATAGAACTCTAGAGAGACAGACGATTCATTTAGTTGACGAAAAACTGACGTTATACAAACGTCAATAAAATAGCTGAGGTTGTTTCGTATTCTCTCTCTCTCTATTTACTTCGATTCTACAAATCAATCAACAGGAAGGTGAGGAGATTTATCGACTTATATTGACAGTGACAAACTTCACTTTTTTTCTTTCTCTATAAGTATTTGATTAAGAAACTTGTACAAAATTTTATCATTAAATTTTATTTTTCTTTATATTCAATATGTAATATATATGTATACATCCATGTAATAAAAAAAGAGGAGAAAAGTGTAACTCAAGAGTGTCATTCACTTTGAATACATATGATTGTCATGGTTATTCTATTTAGAAAATCGAGACTTGACACTCGTGATTATTACTTGATAAAATCAAACGAAGTGCAAGGCATCAGCGTCACGCTCGTCTTATTAGCAGTCATAAAGATATTTGTTGTTAACAACAGCGACGTGAGTGTCATCTATTTTGTATTCCTTAATTTCGTCTACCGATTACAATGAACTGTCGAAGTAAAGTGGAATTAAATGTCTGTCAAATTACTTTTTTAACATCTGTGTGCATTATTGCTGCCTTTCTGGCTGTCTTTGGTTGGTTTCGTACAATAGAACCAGCGGGGTATATCTCGGCAACAGCTAAATCACAACAGAAAGTCACGTCAGTTGTTCACACACGTTTACGACCTATTCCATTCCTTGATGATATTGGTTCACCTCCTGTGTTGAATAACCCCGAATCATATGTACAATGGACATTTCTACAAATGAATGATGTTTATGAAATGATACCATTAGGTGGTGGCAAGAAAGGGGGTCTAGCACGTGTCGCAACGATTCGCAAATTACTTTTACAAGAAAATTCCCAAACATTCACTGTCATATCGGGTGATATCGTCAGTCCATCAGCATTAGGTAGGAAATACTTGAGTACTTCTCTCTCTCTCTGCGTGTGTCTATCTTAGCATATTAGATCATAGGAAATGAGGATAGACAAGATGTTTGTACTCATTCGAAAGATAATATTGTTTTTACACAGATCTTCTATATTTTTCCCAGAGGAAATACATCTCACAATTCTTATTTTTAGGTAATAGTATCGTAAATGGTTCGATGTTAAATGGTAAACAGATGATTGCAACATTTAACGTTCTCGGTGTTGATTATGCCACTTTGGGCAATCATGAATTCGATTTGAAAGAACTCTCCTTACGTCGTCGTTTGAACGAATCTCGTTTCGAATGGATTGCATCGAATGTCTACGAACGTAATACTACCAAACCATTTCACAATATTTTACCCCATAAAATCATCACGATAGCCAATGTGAATATTCTACTTATTGGATTAACCATTGATGATAATTTTGGACCAGCAACAAGTCCACCTTATGTTGATATCACACCACAACGAACACTACCGGAATTTACAGGTGACTATATAAAACATCTTCGGGACGACTTAGGATTAAAATGGGATGTCTTGATTTGCTTAACACATGTAAATATGCAAAATGATATTGAAATTGTCGAACATAATCCAGCCATTGACGTTGTGTTAGGTGGCCATGAACATGAGAATTATTATTTAAAACGTGGAAGCAAATATGCATCGATTTACAAAGCAGATGACAATGCATTCTCCGTTTTTATCCACCGGTTCGCTTACCAACCACAAACAAAACAATTGATGATATTTTCGAAACTTACTCAAGTGACCCCTCGCTTTCCTGACGAACCCGAAACAGCTAAAGTTGCCAATTATTTCTATGAAACCGGTTTACAAGCGTATCGCAATCAAGGTAAAGCAATCGTCATGCTATTCATCAACAACAACTTTTTGTTTCTCTAGGCTATGTACCTGATCGTATTGTATGTGTTCTCCCAGTTGGTTTTAATTTCGACGGCCGTTCAGCTATCATACGTTCCCAACAAACACATTTAACTCGTGCTTTGTGTTATTCCATGATGAACGCAACGAAGACTAATGTTTGCGTACTTAATTCAGGTGCTATTCGTGTTGATGACCAACTGATGGGTACCATAACCCAATATGATATATTACGTTGTTTACCATTTCCAACAAATCTTATTACCGTAAATATTAATGGTTCATCGTTAGTTAAAGTCTTAAATCGTGGCTTGAATCAAATCAATACTGGCATGTTTGTATCTTATGCCGGTATAGAATACAATTCTACGACAGAGAAATGGTATTTGGAGTCAACACAACAACTACTCGATGACGAACACTTACAACTAAACATCGTTTCTATTCCATATTTTTATTATAATACTGATTTCAAATCAACATCGGTAATTTCGAAAAATTTTACATCAATGACAAAGGCTTTCATTGATTATTTGGAAAGAACGTATGGTAAAGATAAAAATCATTACCGGTCTTGATAGATCATCATCATTGATTGACAAACAATGATATCGGTCTGATATATCCACATATATTACTTTGGTTTTACTAGTCAATCTCGACAATCGTATTGGTCTAAACGAACACCTCTATCCAAACACATACACTATATTAGCTGCTCTTCTCAAGATCTATCGTAGACTTCTAACTTATTTTCTATGTTGTACTTCATCGAGTGTGGTTGTCCTCAATAAAGATTCGCTTGATAGAGATAACAAAGCTTTTCCGCTGCATGGATGACAGTAATAGTTTATACGATCATCTAAGGCATCTATATCAACTTCTCTAATCCATTGACATACATCACTGAAAATGCCAGTGAAAGGCTTACGTCTTTGCGCATTTCTGTAAGCCGCAACAGAGACAATTGTCCTTAATAGTCAAGGTATACTTTTCTCCATACCTCATCAGTGTAATCCAAAGAAAACGCTTTATTTCTTTAATATAATTTTATTTCACAAAAAGATCCTGTATAATATATTAGGTATACTATGAATAACTAACAGAACAAATACAATCTAATTCTTTTTCATTGCTAATTCAATTTCACGTAGTCGTCGATTGGCTTTGGTTTCAGCTTTAATTGGACAATATTTCATGGTGTGCGCTTGATCACCGGATAGATGGCAACGTGGACATTTGTGAGCACGAAGAATTGGGCATAGTGTGACCATTTTTTCATTATCACGAAGACGATGCGAAGAGTAGATATCGTAAGACTCACCATTCGCCTTACAAAAGGCGCATTCGAGATATTCGCCGAACTGTTCGCGACGCCAGCGAGCTTTTGCAACCAATGATGATAAATCAAACGATGATGAACGAAGAGGCAAACAATACGATGAACGATTCTCGATATTCGATAGCGATGATGTTGGAGACAATGAAATCTAAATCAATGCAAAGTTACGTTAAACGTATCGAATTGGGAAAAGAAATTACCGATGATGGCACGGGACTTGGTGCGATAACCAGAGGTATTTCTGAAGGATATGTTGTTGAAAACTGAAGTAAATGGAACAGCTCTTTTGTGAGAAAAAAATCACAATCGTTCACTTACTAATGTTGGAGATATGGGGACGATTGGAGTTGGTGAACAACAGTTACAGAATGTTTGGATTGCCGATGAAGGTGAAAACTAAATAGAAATTAGATGCAAGTCATTGTGAATTCGATATGAACGACATACCAATGGAAGAAATGTTGGTTGATTGAAATTCATCATAATGGGTGAATGTCTATTGATCAATACGATGTAAAAATGGTTAATGCCAGTGGCAAAAGATGCTCTCGAGATATTATTTATTCCAATAGTGATTAGATTACATTCTCAATTACAATTAAAGAAAACGTGTCAATTAGGAATACACAAATTGGTACACACAATATATCCTTTTATTGTTAATTAACAAGAAGGGAAAAACAAACACATGTGACACACTGATTGTCGAAAGAGAAAAAGGGAAATAGGTGAGATGTTTCGGGTAAGAAGCAAATCGAATAGTAAAATCTATGAATAGTTCAAAGATGAGTAACAGATAGTGTTTTCTTTCGATGAAAATATCCACTTATATAGTCATAAAGTTCGAAAATAATCGTACCTAAAATACAAAAAGTGAAAAATCCACCAACGATGCAACCAAACACGATTAAGAATATGACACCTGCACTACGTCCTGCTCTTTGTTGTCTTCCTCGAATCTGTCCATAAAATGCATCTGCATATGTTTCACCATGAATTTCATTGACTAATAAATGGAAAACAAAGCAATTGAAAGTTCCTTCAGATAATAGCCCACTTACTTTGGATTAAAACCAGTAAAATATTGATCCAAGAGATTGATTTCTCGATCATGGTGATTATTTTGCTGGAATCACATAGAAAGAAAGGTTGTTATTATACTGAAGGTTTCCAGCATAGACGTGCTATTTTGACAAATTGTTTTTGAACGTGATGCTCGCTTGTTAATATAGAACTTTTCTAGATAAATAGGAAATGATGGTTTCTAGTGAATAATCAAAACAAATTATCCATAGCGACAAGAACATTTCTCTAATTTTTGATTTTCTTGTGCTATCAAATAGTTATGACTCGCCGAAATCAGAATAGCTTAAAAAAGAAAAGACGTTATCGGTCGTTTGCATTGAATACGAATGCATCGAGTAATGTTTTGCTTCATATACTCAGAAGGGTAAAATTCTGGTATTTGCAGCTGCTAATCCAACATCTCGTCTTGAATCAATGGCAAATTTGATGATTGAAGAATTGAGAGGAGTACAACGGGATGATTTAAAAGAAGAATTACTGAAAACTTATGCGACTAAGACGGCATCATCGATTCATTCAGCGTTTTCGTCTTCGAAAATAAACCTAGAAAAGCTTTTATCGAATTTACACACATTCGATCGTTACGTCAACACTCCGGATGAAAATAAGCAGGAACAACGTAAGCATACAGAAATCTTTCAGGACGAGTCTTCGCCGGAAATTATGTCAAAGTCCAAAACATGCCGGAGAAAACACTTGAATGCAGCACCGCCAATGAATGCGATAACCAGAACTATATGCACAAGAAGCACGAAATTGAATAGTTCAAATGATCAGAATAGTTCGAGCGAGTGAGAAAAAGTTGGAAACATTTTAAAACTTAGTTTCTTTAGTCATTTCAAGTCCAGTACGGAAGCGGTCATCATCGTCAGCAGCGAAAGACAATAATGTCAAAGAAACTTCAACTACTGATAAGGAAAAACATGTTCTAACAGAAAAACTGACTGAACAGAGTCATCCGGAGGTCATCGGTACCGATAATTCTAAATTTTTATGCGACTTAATACTAGTTTTGCTAGGAGAAGATGTATCCAATGTGAAAGTATCTCGTCGGAGACTACGATCAGTTCTTCAATCATCGTCCGAAAATGCTGAACTAAAAAATCACTTTTAAAACTTTACTGTGATAATAAATTCAAAGGCGCTTTTGACGAATAAATGACTGGCGCGTTTCTCAAGCAGCAATTTGCCTTTTTGTCTCGAATACTGATTTGTGTTTTCTATTTTAACGTATTGTTTCGGTATCGAATCAGTTGTTCATGTCTTCCAATACGATAGCGAGTGCTGCCGAATTTGTGCGGATGACAAAAGAAGAAAAATTACGTTTTTGTCAAGATCTCATAAGACAAGCTGCTAATTTGAAGAAATCATCACGTACGAGTGGTAGTGTACGATCTAAAAGTAAATCTAATAAACGATCCAATTCGAAAAGAGCAAAAACTCCAACGTCAACATATCAGAAGCATTCAAAATCATCAGCATTACAATCTGTCTGTTTGTTTAATAGTTTTTTTTTCTGTGAACAAATGAACATTCTTTGTCCAGTCTGAGCATACTCCGATACAAGTCAGGAGTAAAATGTCTCCTTCGCATTCAAGCGTGAAAAATAGTACTGGTTCCAATTCAAAAATAGGTAGAGTTTATTTCAAATCGATCAAATCTTTTATTCAAACATATATTATCGTTTGTTTTCAGACGGTATGCATACTTCAAAAACTAATCAATCCGAAGCAGAACATCAACCGACATCGAAATCTGTGTGCTTGTTTCTTAGTTTTATCATGCATAAACTTTCATTGAATATCCTTTAGTCAATTCACAGCCATAAGTCAACGCGTAAACATCATCCGGATGGATCAAGTCTGGTGCGATCTGCTTCTCACACTGCTGGTTTGTAATTATTGTAAAATGCATGTAACCTAAATACATCATCGATTATTTTCAGATCATAAATTCGGCGTAAAAAAATCGGCTTCAAAGAAAAGATCAAAGGTCTGTAAACCGAATGACGTTTTCTCGTCTTTAAACTAGTATTTTCACGTAGCGTTTCTCATCATCTACGCATAGAACAGCTGGTATTGTCGTTTGCCTCTTTTTTAAGAAAAATTCTTCTTCGATTAGGTGCACATGCTAAATCACGAACGAAATCGAAGCCTACAGGACGTAGCCATAGTCGATTGAGACGCGGCGCATCAAGAGTTCGTTCTGCTAGTAAACATAAACGATCAACGAAATCAGTTACCGAGAAAAAAGTAGGAAAGATACTCAAGCAACGAAATCAATATCTTTCACTTCAGCGAAGAACATCAACTGTTCGTTTGTCATCAAAACCAGCCGGATATAGTAGTAAACATGCTGGTAAAACTCGTTCAACTGCCACGAGAGGTCACATTAGATCTAAGAGCAAACATGCAAATACACAAAGAAAAACTCATACTGAGATATGTGCTGTCCAGTTCGTACCAAAATTTGATCCAAGTTCAAGTAAAAACCATGTACCGATTTATCATCTCATTCGTCATGCGTTCGGTAACATGGTCCGTGAAGCGATTTGTCAATTGGACAAGGATAAAACTGGTGTTAGTTCTCAACAAATTCTCGATCATATCCTCAAACATTATTCATTTCCAAATAATATTTCGAAAAGCGCCATACGTAATCGAACGTTGTTCACCATTAACGCAGGTTTACGTGCTGGCACTCTTCTCAGTGCTGGTTCAAACAAAAACATTCGCATCGGACGTATGCGACGTGTCTATCCACATAAACTTCGTTAACATCAATCTTGATAACGGTAATTTCATTCTTTTCGAATAAAAAATAAACACAAAACAGCTTTTGAGTCAAGTGCAGTGCACTCCACTGCGGATGAATGAACTTGAGTCAATGCGAGCAAACCAACTTAGTATCTTTTACTGGCATAGAAGATTTATGATTTGGCACGAATAAGTTCTTGTAACGCGGAGAGTCTTTTGTGCTTCTATAACTTCCAGGGCTTCTATTTTTATTTAATTGATGAATTAAGGACAATTGTTTACGGTATGACTACTGACAGATAATATCTACAGACGTGATTTTAATATTTACCATTTTTGTTTCGAGAGATACGATGTCAATATTGATCTTATTTCGTAACCATCAACAGATCATCTATGTCATTCAGAAAATATGAATAAACAGAGTTATACACACGGAAATGTTAATATATTCTAACCTCTGAACAAATCAAGCCTAGAAAACACGGCGCACGCCTGGATGTAATATAAAAATTCAATTTATCGCTTGTCTCCAATGTTAAACTGCACTCCGTGGCAACAGAAATGGAATAACTACATGCGAGAATTTCTTATCACATGTAACCTATATTTCCGGTAAAACGAACTTCATTATGACGTAGCAACGTAACAGCAGAATCAAAGCGACTCAATCAGCTGTACACAACTTTTTTACTGAGACGAGCTTCTACTTGCTTGTCATTATTCCGTTTAGAACGAACAATTCTATTATTTATTATATTCCACTCTGTAACATAATCTGTTCATTCTCCGTAAAAGCTCGTTTAATTACTTTTCATTCGAACGATATCGAGTAGAAGACGAAAGAGACTAGTGAAAGAAAACAAAATAGTCAAAGACTTATCATGTACGATTTCGGATATCGTCTGTCATACTTCTTCTTCTTCTGTCTTTTCTGATTTCATCACTATTGGCAAGCAAAAGAACAAGCCAGGTCATGTATTTTCATTTACATGCTTTAGAGAACACGTTATTATTGAACCATAAAAATCTTCAATACGACTATTCAAAAGAGCAGTTGAGGCACGTTGTTTTTCTGATATTCATATTATCGCAATATAGAAAAACACGAGAATTAGCAGCTTACTTGAGAGGAATATGTAAAGAAAAAACAAGTTTGAAAAAACTAGTCATAAAATTTCTAGTCGTCATTACTATTTTGTTTTCTCGTTCTCTGTCTCCCTCTCTCTCTCGTTCCCTGTTCTTCAATTAGTCGCCATAAAATAAGCTCTGAACTTGAGACATATATGCTTTTAGCAATTGAAATATCACAAAATCCCGAAAGCATTCCACGATGATCAACAACGAACAGCGTTTTGCTCTGCACACCATATCCAATCCGACGAATTTAACATTCGATCGATATGCGTATTCACGGTACAAGTACGGCGATAGCAGTCAAGCAAAAAAGTTCGGTGATGAACTCTTTACTGGCTTTCTTGATAAATATCGCGATTTTCTCCTTTCGTCAAATCAACAACTTGTCGCCATGTCATCACCACGTGGAGTTATTCCACCAGCTGTATACTACATTTTTCAAACGTTCTTTAAAAAACTTAATCGATTTCTCCAGTCGAATGGACGAGAACCTGCGGTAGAACATACGATTCATCGAATTGGAACAATCGCTGAAGATTATTCCATATTATCCAAACGTGAACGACTTGACCGTCTCATTGACGAGCGTTATTCTATAGACCGGCATGACCTAACAAATAAATTTCTGTTATTTGTCGATGATATTCGTATTACAGGTAAGGCAGATTATCTTGGCTAAGTTGTAGGATGTACTTTTACGCCCAAATCATTCTTCCTCTTCGCAGGTATCCACGAAATGAATATAATTCGTTTGTTACAAACATCAAATATTCATAATTCTCGATTATTTATTTATTATGCGCAACTAATTAATGATCAAATACCGACATCATTCGAATATGAATTGAATCGCTGTGCAATCTATGATCTCGATCAATTGTTAACAATAATTCACAATCCATTGACAACATTCCAGATCAATACGCGGATATTGAAAGAAATCCTCCGATCTAGTTCTTCTGAACTGGATCATTTCTTACAATCAGTTAGTACTGATCTCATGTCACAACTTTATCATGCGTGTTTTGCTTGTAATTATCAAACCATTGAAATCTTTGCTGACACTTTAGAATATTTACATCGTTGTCTGAAACAACGGCAGAATGCAAAGTAAAGCATATCTTTTTTCTGTACTGGAAATCGCGTGTTTAGTTATTCTTTTTATTTTGTAATAATCTTGTATATAACTGAAGAGAACTTTTGCAATTAAACTTGTTTATTCGTTGAGCAGAGAGAAAGAAACAAGAATATAAATGATAAGTGATTGATATTCTCTAACGACGTCGACCAAAAAAAGCGTCCCAATGGTGCTTTCGTCCAAATGATTGACGTTTGTTTGGAAGAATATCTCGAAAGTCATTTGCTCGATTAGACGATGAGGATGAAACGAGAGCCGCTGGTGGAAAGATAAAATGAGCAGCGCGTCTTGCAACAATGGTTTGATCATCATTTAAACCATAATTTTGTATTGCATACACATCCAAATCGTTCAATGGTACATATTGTCTGTCCATATAGGCATGGGTAATTAGAAGACACGATGCTAAATGAGAAGAAGATTAACTTTGCTTTCTTGATGAAGACAACAATTTACCAATAATGAGAACTAGATGGAAAGATGAGATCATAATGATGGCGATGAAACACGACTATTGGTATGTGTGGTGATGTTCTTCTGAACAAGAAAAATACTGAATAGTTAGTTAGTTGGATGTTGGCGTAGAGTTGTCACATACATCTTTTTTTTCTCTTCGTCTTTGTTTCTCATCGCAGCAGAAGTTAAAAAAAACAATTTTCGCTCTTAGATGTCACGTCATGCACGTACATTCTTGTTAATCATTACTTCTTGATTTGTTCCTCAATTTATAATGATGAAAAGCAAATCTTAAGAAGATTAGTACTCCAGTTTCCAATAGGCGATCCAATTGATTATGGACAAAACACGCCAGATTGTCTGCATCATCCCCGTAACCTTGTTAGAGTATCATGTAGATCGTAATTAGTTAGATGTAGAGAACAGCGGACATATAGGCAAGGCATGCATATATATTAAATTACAAAAAAAGAGGAAAAAAAGCCATGAACAAACAAACAAAGAAAAATTTTTGTCGTTTATGCATATTTATATATATATTGTCTTCTCATTCCTATGTACAATAATGCCACTGTATGAGCAAATTGACTACTGAGAAAAGAAAAGAAAAAACAAACAAAACAGAAACCGTTCGTTTTTTCTTTTGTCTTGATCGACGACCACCCTAGCACAAATAAAGGCAAATCTTCTTTTGTGATTATTGGATACCAAATGTATTTGTTTCTTCAATAGCTAATAACAATTTGTTATATAGAATATCATAGGATGTGTAAGACGGCAAATCCAAACGATTGAAACATGTATGTGCACGTGGTAATGCTCCTGCCACCCCCCACCGTTCGATACAAAATCGTCGTGGACCATTGGAACCACGCAATGCGGAAAACCCTTCATACGGGATCGACGATGTGCCAGTAACGAATTGTAACAATTTCAAACGTTGTTCATTATCAAAACGTTTCTCGACACAAAACCAAAACCACTCGATAACATGATGTTGACTATGGTAACCACCACGGTACTCGGTATTTACGCGCCAATCGTTCAGATCAATTTCCATCGTGCCACACAAGGCTAGTTCTAATTCTCGTGCATCAAACATGGATGAAATGAGTTTATTATCACCAATGATTTCATAAAAGCCTCGTACGAAACAATCGATTTGTTCTTGTACACCGCGTTCAATGCGCCATTTAATAATCAAATCGAGAAATTCACGTTTGTTACGTTCAGTCACTTGACAATTCTTCCCATCGGGTTTTAATTCTTTTTCGATAATCTTACCACATTGATCTTCGTTGACATAGAAATACAAATCTTGATTTTCAACATTGTTTTCTTTAATCCACAGCAATGATTGATAAAATTCCGGATCGAGTGATTCTAAATCAGCCAATGTGAATGTTTGATGTTCGCGCAGTAATGCTTTGTACAATGGACGGACGAGAAAAGCATCAACAAGGTATTGGTTTATTAATGCCACAGCTAGAAAAACAAAACATTTAAAAATCGAACGCTTTGGTTTCTTTCATGTTAAGTACGATGTCATTTTAAAGGACAAACTTCAATTATCATTTACGATGAAAGATATGACACAAATTTTGATCAGTAGACATACTCTGTCACGTATTGTAGGAAGGAAATGATGATAATTCCATTTTACCATTAGTAGTGTCTGTTGACCTTTTGCATTCGGTCATATTAACAGGCACCACTATTTTTTCAAAGTTCGATTTATCGATAGATAGGGAAGCAGCAAAAAACTCATTTATTACTGATCAGCAGTTACTGGAAGTCACTCAGAGATAGACGACACGAAATTCAAGTTTGTACGAGATGAAATGCTTGAATTAGATTGACTAAGATTATTCTAAAAATGCAATCCTCGTCAATGCTTATCTTTATTGCATGAGAAGTTGCCTTCTATATTCATTCGCACCTGTTGTCACGACATTGTCACTCATCTAAATATGCAATCTAACAGATCTCGTTTGCATAAGAGAGTTGGACCTAACTAAATTCTCATTTATACGTACCCAGCATTCGTCCACCGAAACGCATCCATTCCGTATAGTTTTCATTAAATTTCGACATGGGACTAATTTGTAATGTGTATTGATCACTTGCTGAATATTCGAAAAAGCCGTAGTATGGATTGAAGAATTGTCTCGACATTAATAGAAAAAATTCTCGTGATGGACCTCCATAATCCAAACCTTCCTCGCCGGTAAACGTGATAAATAATTTGTTTCGTTGTAAGTCTTTTTTCGGTATTTGATTCATGAATTTTTCAAATGCGTCCGAAAGAAGATTATTTCGTGAGATGGAAACTTTGGTCTTTGCCGGACCTGTTGCATAACCTTTCGAATCGAGTTTTTTATAGAAAGCACGAAGTTTCTGCTGAAAACATGGCCGACGCGATGAGGAAGCTGATTGTTGACTTGATGAACGACGTGACGATGATGCCGATGACGATTTACCTTGTTCGACGACGAATGTTGTCGAAGTTGATGGCGAGATAAACGATGAGACAGATTGGGATGTTGTCACACTTGTCGATTGAGTTAATGGGGGAATATAAGACACGATATCTTCATGAAAGACACTAATGAGAAGACTTAAATCTACAGAATTCGATAGCGTATCCAACGCTCGAACACCTTCGGCTCGAATCAATTGAATTTTTTCACGCAGCTTGCTCGTCAATGGCACAAGCTAGAATAAAAGATACATCCGAGTTAATTATTTTTGAAGACAATAGAAAGTTTTACTTGATTTGCTTTGAGTAAATCAAATATTTGAGACTGTCGCATAAATGCCACGACTTTTTCGTTATATGTTAAACTAATGAGTTCTTGTTGTTTTCGATTAGCTCGCGATATGACTGATGAGTTTTCATCGGAGCCACTGGTTGGTGGTAAGGCAATAGCTGCAGTTGGTTGCTGTTCATCATCGATTGGCAAACGCGGATCGATGTAAGTTGTCGAACGTGTATTATGATCAACGAAAAATAGCTTTCCGCTATCGTCATGTTTGACATCCCACCGCGCGGGTAAAACCCGCGTTGGATCAGCAAACAGATTGAGAAAACGTACGAGCTCTTTATTATGTTGATATCGCTTGAAGAGCGTGGGATCATGGCGAATACGTTGGAGAATACCGGCTAATGAATCTGATTTAGTCATGTGACGTGCTTCACGGTGTGTTTTGAAGAATTGATAAAAATCAGTTCGACAAATGAATCTTAAAGCTGGAGTTGATCGTATACACTCGTCGGGGGTTTGAACTGATGAAGAAACTGTTGATGACGATGATGACGATGATGAGACGTCATTATTCGTAGTAGTTGAGTTACTATTATCAGTCGAGAGAATACTGGACGTGTCAACTACTGATGAACTTGTTGTACGAGTTGCTGCTGTGCGTCGAATACTTTGATACCGTTTATCCATACGTTCACGATCAATAGTTGGCGATGGACTAACAGGAACAGCAGTTGTAGTAGGTACAGGAGCCACAATAGTGATGGTATTAGTAAGAGCAACTGTGCTAGCAACTGGAAGACGAGGAGTCGAAACAGTCGATTGTGATTGTGTCGTTGGGCGTTGCCATGTTGTTGTTTTATTATTGTGATCGATAAAATACGGACGGCCAAATTGATCGATGCGTGTTTCCCACCCAGATGGCAAAGGTGGTGAAGCATTAATTACAGGTGAAGACGGAGGATCAGTATTTACATTCGGAGCTGACGGTGGTGGTGGTGATGATGATGATGTTCGAGTATCGACCGTAACTGATTTACGTGGCAGTGTAACCATAAATGCAGAGTTATTCATTCTAAAGCGGACATTTAAAGAAAAAAGAAGTCAGTTTTTGATAAAAGGCAGGAAATTAATAAGACAAAAGAGTCTCGAGGATTACGGAACATTTTCCATTTTCTCTAAAGACAACATTGACCTTGTATAGGAAAAAACATACAACCGTATCTATTGGGGATTTAGCGTTGTCGTTTGCCATATTGTGTCATCCACAATGAATAAGCATTCGAGCGCATATGTCGCTTATTCCTCTGTTAAATGTAGAGAAAACAACACATTCTTCTCCGAACTCACCGTGGAATATCTTGTTGCGTGGACATATCATTCGTGTTAGGCATCGACATTGATGTACTCATTACTGGTGGTTGTTCAGCAACAATGAAAGAGGAGGACGAGCATATCAGTCGGGCGTTTTCAACTGGTGGGAGTATACTAGCAAGCATATTATCTGTTTCTTGTGACTGTGATGTCGGAGATGGAGTACGAGGATTGATTGTTTGTGATTCAGTCGTTAAGTTTTTATATTTCGATACTTGCTGTTTATGCCATTCTTGCAGTTCGCGTGTAATTAGTTTTCTAAACAAACTCATATACATAAATACGAATTTCAAGTTAATGAACATACCGCGTTTGTTCTGCTGAAGGACAATCAGTATGATTGTGGTTATTTGAACGAGCTGTATCCGCTGTTGTGATCGTTTGATATTTCGATTGAACACGATGTAAATCTTGAGCAGCTTGTCGCAGTTCTATTAAAGTAAAATTGAAAACTTTCAAATAAAATAGACACAAAATTAACAAACCATTAGCATAGTCTAAAATTTGTTGAGACAGCACAATCATTCTCTCATTTCATTCAATCGAATACGCCTACTAACAATAATGATTTTTACTCATCCGATGTCTGTGCGTTTGAACATCTTTCTCTTTCGTTCTTTATTTGATGAATCGTGTAAGCAGAAAAGAAAAAAGAAAGAGAATCTACAAACAGAGATGACCCACCATTGCAAAAGTAAGCGAAGGAGAGAGAGAGAAGAAAAAGAGATCGGTCAATGAGACTCGCACATGTCATCAGATTGTTGAACTCTATAAAAATACTAGTAGTGGTAATAATAGAATGATTCGGAAAGAGGACAAACATTGATGCACGAGTTTCTTTTGTTTCTTTTCTCTATCGAGTAAAAAAAACTTGGTCAAGGATCAATTTATTGATCAACAAATGTCTGAGTGCATATATATTTCTTACAAATTGTTCATTTGAGACAAGAAGTAATCGAAAAAGATCGTTAGCAGAGAGAACATTACCGTCTTTTCAACTGAATTTGGTATTATTACATAATACAAATAAGAATGAGAAGGAGAGGAGAAAAAAAAGGGAAAATCATACTTCACTACGTTTGATTTGTGTTTAATCATCGAGCGGTCGGTTGACTGACAAACGTATCCATTCGAAAGTGCACAATGGAAAGATCATTTTCCTCTTAGAAAATAAAAGAGGCAATAAGGGAAAACCAAAGCGAGCGAGCAAGAACAATAGGTACCATTTTTCTATGAGCGACGTAATACCGCTCACTCACACTATACAATGAAGACACTGATTGATCTAAGAGCTAATCAAGAAATGGATACATCAAAGAATTTCTTTCGGAAATAGATTAAAACAAGATCTCATTAGATATTTCCGAGTATGGTGAAAATTTGATAACCAGAAAATGTCGAAATCAGCGAATTCAATTTAGTCTAGGACCTCTTCGAACAATATGCTTATGTACCATTCAAGGTCATGTAAGAAATATCGAGAGTGACGAAGATCGATTTACCTCGTGATAATGTTCGAACACTTTCTTCGTTAAAGCAGCTGTTACTATTATGATGATGCTGATGATGATTGTAGACTGAAGAATGAAGACGATTTCCAGTTGTTTGTAAATTATTTTCTGAGCCTGTCGTTGTCGATTGATGTTGACCATTTGGCTTAATAATTAACAGTTTATTCGTTGAATTGACAGGTAATTGTAATGTTCGATAAGCATCGTGATGTGAGTGATGATGATGTTGTTGAAGCATTGGTGTTGTTGTTACTATACTTGATGATCGTGGGATACGTGGAGGGAGTAAGGTCGATGATGAATAGCAATGCTTCAGTTTCTTCTCTGTCGATGAAAGAACAACGATATTAGTTGATCCGACATCGCAATTATGCGACGACGACGACGACGACGACGGCGCGTCTTCTCTCCCTTCTTCTTCTTCTTCTTGTCGTTGTTGATTGTCATCAATGTTGTTCTCGTTTAATACTACTACTACTACTTCTTCATTTGCTTCGTGTTCTTCATCATGTCCTTGGTATGATGATGTTACAGAACAATGTGTCGGTACAGTCGTAGTTATTCGAGGTTGATTGGAAGGATTATCCAACAACATCTGATTAGCATCATTCGTTATTCCATCGTCTAGAGATAAATATGAAAGAAAATGAACAACTATCCGCATTGTCAATGACAAGAATGTCGTATCGAGAAGAACAGACAGAAGATCAATCTGATTCCTAACATTCTCTGCTTTCTTTTCCATTAAATGGCATCATCATATCTAATGTATGTTCACGTCTGAGCATCGATGTATATACAACATGTAAAGAGAGATAAATAACCTCGTCTACGACGACTGTCAACACCTCATTCATCCTTCCCTCCCTCTTCATCATCATCTTGCATAATCATAAATAGAGTAATATCACTCTCCCAAGGCGATTAGACGATGGCAGCACGAGCAACAAAAATGAAGGTCTCTACAGGAGGTCAATCATAACTGTTTATACCTATGATAGTGTTATCCGATGATGGTGTTAATGATTCATCTATGGATTGCGTTGATAAATGATCCACGAGTGAATCACCAGTTGAAGAAGATATTTGATTATCTCGTTGATCATCCGTGTTCTAAATGAGCATAAAAAGTAGTAAATTAACAGCTAAAATGTAAACTAGAATTACAGATGAATGTTGAGATACATTTTCTTCTTCAACAGCTTCATTTGTTGTTTGTTCGTTGACAGGAGACGATGAAAGATTATTATCTAGACAAAGGAATTTTCGATATGATCATCGAATTATGCAAATTATGTATTAAATCCCTCATCTTACCATAACCATCGGTATTTGTCACAGAAATTTCCGGTGTAGATTCAACGTTTTCTACGATTGCAGTTGAATCCATTAAAGGTCTTGGCAGTGTTGGTGATTCACCTAAAATTGATTGTATGTTTTTAAGGAAAACACTTCTGAACGCGATACAAACTTCTAATAAATGCAGCATTGAACATTAAACAACCACTAACATGATCGGAGTAATTTCGTCGTTGAAGATTGAATACAAACGTTGATGAACTAAATGAAAAACTCGTTCGATCAATACCTTGATCTCTTCAGAGAAAAGAAAGTACTTTTTATTTAATTTATCTAATAAAAATCCAATCTGAACCGTTATCTTCCCGAGAAATCGATTCATCGTAGGTCTCGTTTTCACAAATTTGTCCTTCACTTCAAACTCCAACAAATCTGTATGAAATGTTTGAAAAGTAAACGATTGATTGTACCATTTCGGATGACACTAAATAGACAAGCGTGTATTTTTTTTTCTCGCTTTTTGCACGACTTTTTATTACCGTATTCGGTATCACATTCGTTCGTTTTTCTTGATTGTAAAAATGCGATGATATGCGAAATTGTTTGTGCAGACGGCCAGCAATCAACGAAACTTTGATGTATGGATCAGGTTTGAAAAAGACTCCACGTTGTAAATTCGTAGCATGAAGATCTAAGCATCAATAAAGGGAGTGTACTGAAACATAAAACAATAATTTTTACCATAAATTTTTATGGATATAGGCCGCGTCATGTTGTCGCTCGATGGTATGTGATTATTACCATGAATCAATGGTATCAGTGATGATTGAGCTTTAATTTCTCCATTGATTGCATTGTAATATTGGAAACAAACAGTATCAACTAGATGAATATATAACAAACACGAGAAATTCTCATGCAAATGATTACCATTCACTAGTTTATTGATTATTGTCTGTGTACAATGCCAATGATACTGGCCGATCTTGAGAGCGTTTAAATTGTTATAAATATTTTCAACAACATCATTCGGCGTTAATTTATCTAGAGAAATTTCGAACAATGAATAATTTCTTCGATGTTTGTCGTTTGTTACCTGGTAGAAAGATTCCAATAGAATCATGTGAAGTGATGACATTATCATAAATATTCCAAGCGAGTGTCACGATCGTCGAAGTTGATAAACAGATTTGTTCAGGCGAGATAGTCAAAAGTGATTTATGCAAATTCGAAGGAAATAAAGGCGATGGTGTAGATATTAAATCGTGATGAAAGATTTGATGAGATTGTGCTTGTTGTTGTTGTGATTCAGATGCTGGCATGATAAATGTCAATTGAATTGAAACAATTCAATCGCTATGTTAATGAGAAATCGACATTAAATCGAGGGGAATACAAGGTCAATAAGGCTATGGAACTTGTATATGTACATTTTCAGACTAAAGGCAGATGGAAGTGCGATAATAGAAATGAAACATGATCCGATTATGTGAGACGAGTTGAAGAAGAATGCTCGTAAAATTTAAATTCAACCTGCTTGTCTATCTGTTCTGTTTCTTCTCGATCGTCCAACCTTGAAAGGCAAACCTCGATGAAGTAATACAAAACGGACAAGTAACCAGAGTAATGAATCATAGAGGGCGTTGCGAATCGGTCGCCCATTCTTTTTTCAAATTTGACGTCAATTGAAGCAATTCTTCGTTTCCATATCGAACTGGTTGACTAACGATGAACAAATTTGGCATTCAGAAGTTCGAACGAATTCTATTGAGTCGATGAGCACAATTTTCATACGTTGTCAGATATCATTGACTGTTAGGAAACATGAGAGGATATTTTGGGAAACAAGAATCAATGTTTTTCTTCAATGGTTATCGAATCTTTTGTTTATAATCATTGGAAGAGTATCTCAGCGTTCGAACAAAATACGGTCATATATCCTTGGAATTTCACTTTTCGTCTACGATATTCACTTCGATTTTCTTTCTCTGTTCTATCGAAATGCGTATAATCGGACCTACTCTTTGATCGATGGTAAGAGATGAATGGTAGATTTTGTTGTAATAGTCTGCATTCAAACTGAGTGTTAAGTGCACAGATGACATAACTCACACACATATCGAAGTATTCGACTTCATGCATCTCGATGATTGTCATCAGTGTCAATAGACTCAGTATGAACTCTAACAACAGTCTATTATCAAACACTTTCATCACGAGTTTTCTGATAGTTATCATTCGTTACGCGAATGATCAAATGCGTAATTCTTCTTCTAATGACAAACTGAATTAGTCGTTTTCAAACATACACTAATCGTATTGCTAATCACAGTCGTATACACTTCTAACATTGTTGATATTTCTTTTGCGACAAATGGTTTCCTTAAATGCAAAATCAGACAATCGACGCGCCATATCTTCAAGCCGAAAACATTGATTTGTTTATATGAGTGTGACGTACAAAGAAATAGTACTATGTCCCATTTGAAAATATCTCTGAGTACCTACTAATCATTGCATCGAAGTTCAACAATTTCTTGTCTTGATAAAATCTCTTCGAATCAAAATTAATCAATCAATCAACCAAAAAACATGCAAGAAAACTGACAGTCTTCAATTGGCGAAAGCTCTTCTTATTAAAAAAAAGCAGAACTATATCTGTAACCTTCGAGCAATGACTGATACCATATATCGATGTTTGATTAGCAACGCCAGACATGTACATCTTAATTGTTAAGTACAAAAGTAAACTGTATTTGTAAGAGTTAGTTGTCGATAGCTTTGGTCACAATCAATCGATCGCCTTGTTTTTGCGAACAGTTCGAGAGAAGTGATGAAAAGTGTAGAAATCGTCATTGCTTTTCTATTGTCAAAACAAAAGAGAGAAAAATTTATATTCAAGCATAGTTTCATGTCAATCACTTGTTCAATGGCGAGAAAAGTCAAACAGAGCAAAAGAATATGAAAGAAAAAGAAAGAGAAAACGAGGCAATTCATGTGAAATTCATATTGCTTTCATACACAGATAAGAGATACACTAAAGTAAAATAGTTTTCATAAAATAAAAGACAAATGTATGCGTAAGATTGTTAACATGAGATGTGTTCTGCAAGAGATTAGTAAAACAAAATAAAGGAAAAGATGAGAAAGAGAAAGAGAAAGGAAGTTTTGTATATTGTTGTCGTCGTTTTGGTTTATATGTATACGTGGAATCGATTTCGGCATTTCAAGTGTATTGTGAAAGAGGACGTTTATTTTTCTAATTCTTTTCGAACTCGATAACCACGATAAGCAGCCTGATATAATAGAAGAAATCGTTTTCAAAACAATCGACATATGAGAATATGATGGGTTTTACCTGAATTCTAACAGCAGCTGCATTATCTTCTTCTTCTTCTTCTTCGCCGACTGGAACTTTATTGCCTTCAGCTGATGGTGATAAAACTAGATGAAACTAATACAGTCACATATGTTGATTATAATAGACATACTGTTCTTATTTCGTCCATTATCGTGTTCTTCATGCGCTTGGGAAGAAGTTGATGATGATAAATGATCTTGTTCATTGCCGGATGATGGAACTCCTGGATGAGAGCCTAAATCTTTTCGAGTTTTGTAACCCCGATAGGATGCTTGGATGCGTGTTGCTGCTTTTTCAAGATTTGGATCGCTCATATCGTCGATTTCAAAGTCGTCGTAGTGTTCTTGGATAGGTTCGGAATTCGAGATAGATTCAGTTTGATGATATACCTGGTCACTAGGCCCGTTTTTGTCTAAAGGGTACAAAATACTAATTAAAAGACAAAAACAACGTTTCCTATCTGTTAATAATCACAAACATCGATTAGTCTTTATGTCTATTTCTATCTTTTTTTTTTTCTTTCTACATATGTTTGTCAAAGAATTATTTTGTGTTTATTTCCTCGTGTAATGATGGTTGATTAATATTTTTTTGTACGAAAGATAGTGACCTTTTTAGTCCTACTTGTAGAGATATAATTTGATTTGTGACGACGTCATTTCTAACCTCTTAGAACTTTCTTATCGAAGATAGATAGATCGATCGATCGATCGAACTCATCTGATCAATCATTAACTATCGAGATCCGCTAAAACTAATACCGCCAAATGCCAATGATATCTTTTACATTACACGCACATTTTCTTCGAGAATAACGCGAATGTCAAATCTAGTCGAGTATAGTTTAATACCATTCATCTGACGTCGATGGTTAAAGCTGGAAAACCATTTCTTCGATAGATATTTCTCTTGACAAAAGAACTACGTATAATGTTCTTTTCTCTGATCTTGTACGAGTGCAACTAATGATGTCTCAACATTACTGGAAAGAATGAAAACATTTCTGCATCAGATGTAATTGCCTTGATGACAAAAGATTAGCGTAATACAAAACGGGTGTACACTATGTTCTAAACATTCAGGTGGAAAGAAATCGAATAAGAAAGAACATTAGATCAAGAATCGAACAAACAGATCTCTCCCAGACGGAAGAATGGGGAAAACAAATATATACTACGGTTACTCATGCTCTCAAAAACAATCCTTGTCCTCATATTGTTATCTCATTTCAACTAGTTCGATAGACTCGTCTTTCTCGCAGTAGATTTTTATATTTACCTATGTAATTCGATTTGGTCTTTGTAATGTGAACAGAAGTATCTGTATGAATATCGATATTTATTTGCGTGATAAATTCTTCGAAGAAACGATTCGATTTTTTACGTCTGTCTATCTATCTGTCTATTGAATGTAAAGAATATAAACAACATTCATTGGAGTTATATCGTGCTGATATTCTTCTTCCCTTCTTTTTCTCTCCTTTTCTTCTATAGATAAGCAATGATGCTATGTTTCTTAAGACGGTTCCCTATCCATATATCATCGGTGGGCGAAGTTTTTCTCCGGCATCATTCTTCTTCCACGACAACAACAACAGCAACAGCAGGAGGAAAATTTATACCCACGCACTTGGTAGTAATGAACTGCTTTTTGACATATATAGATCTGATCTGTCACAATGATCGTACCAAAACATGAGAAAGATGTTGTCGTCAACTATCGTTTCTTCCCTCCGATAAGATTAGTCTTAACCTATTCGACTTACCGGTTTTCATCTCATCGATTGATGTTATATTATGATGATAATCATTTGAATGAGATGATGGTTTGTCATCATCGACAGAGAGTACCTGAAAAGAAATAAGTCTGTGATTATTCTCTAAATGCGAGAACTGATTAATCAAGTAGGAAATAGGATTAGTTTTGTTTCCTTTCTCTTTCCAACAGCTTACAATTAAGTGTTTAGTAAAGTGCTTTTATCAGAGTAGTTACTAATACTGAGACGATTATCGTATTACTTCTACTTAGAGATGCATGACATGTGCAAATATGTACCTTTTCTTGTTTGTCGTCGGATGTTTCTCGGAGATGCTTTCGAATTTTATAACCACGAAATTGTGCCTATATATAAGCGAATATTGAGCAGATTAAAGTGAAAATATCGGCGATTTACTTGAATGGATACTGCGGCACGTTCTTGTTCGCGTTTTTCCTCTTCGGTGATGTTTTCATCGTCGAAAGTCTAAAGGAAAAATGCTGATTTTCAGACTTCTATCGGAAACATTGTTTATTTACGGCATCCTGTTGTGCATTTGATATGTCCGATGGTTTCTAAATCGAATACATAATTTGTTTCATTGGCATCTTACAAAAGAAATTACTTTGTATTCATCGCTGGATGTTCGGGATTGTTCATCATCATAATTTGATTCTTCTTGATTAGAATGAGTAATTCCGTCCGACTAGAGGATAGAAGTTTATATTTGCAAAGAAGAGAAGATTAGGTTTCTTTCATTCACTTTTTCTTTCATTTTTTCTAATTCTCGTCTGGTTTTAAATCCACGAAATTGCGCTTGAATTTTTGTTGCGGCATGTTGAACGTTCGGATCGTCCACGGGAAACTCTTCCTGAATAGTATTACAAAGCAGCATGAATTTCGTTCTGTACTCAATCATCAATGATACAAACTTCAAATGTATGATTATGTTCATGCGTCTCGTCTGCGGCTCTCTGATTGTGAGATGCATATGACTCTTCGCCATGTTCTAAATGAGAAAGAATCTCATCAAATGAGAATATCATTCAAAGATGATTGATTTTGTCATCTTTACAAAAGATACTAACTCATCAATCATAGGAGCGAAATTCTCGCTATGATGATAACGCTGAACGATCATCAGAAGGATTTTTTTCGGAAACAATCGTATTCCTTTTCGCGATCTAGCGTATGTATATAGCTTTGTGTTCGATTATTAACGGAAATAGAATTTACGTGTATTTTGCCTTTAACGTGTCATAACACTTTTCCTCATTTATATAAATGTCACATTCATATACGCACAACTAGACAAGACGAACAACAATAATAAGAATAACAAATTGCCCTAGATAGAAAAATTAATAATTATAGTGATGAGAATTGAAGAAAGAAACACAAGAAGCCAGAAGACGAAGAAGAAGAGAATTCGTTCGATTTAATTTTGTTTCGAATGAATAACATCATTAAAACTATTCAATACTTGTTCAGCCTTGCGCCGGATATCATCGGGTAAGTCAGCAGGAATGTGATGTTCATTATTTTCCAAATGAATAACACTATTCGGTACGTCGGTCGTTGTTTCACTTGCGGAGTTGACGACTAATGCCGATGAGCCATCGACAAAAATTTGTCGCACTGTTTTGGTTACTGTTACATTAACAACTTCATGTTCATTGGTTTCCGCATTTAATGAATTCAAATCCAATGATGGTCCCATTTTATCGTAGAGTGCTTTCAAGAACGAATTATCGGAAGATTGAGATGCGACATAGATAGTTACAATGTTCATGAGACGCCGTTTGATTTTGTCCTCATTATCATTGTCGGGATGTTTGTGTTGTTGAATATCATTGAAACATTGCTCGAGGCTTTGATCAATCAATGTATTATCGTTTGTACCGCCAATAATTCTTTTATGAACATAATCAACGAGTTTTTGTTTCTCTTCGGCAATGGGAAAGATTTTCTCGCGAAGAAACGTGTACACTTCTTGTTTAAGTTTGTCAATGGTCTCGGCACTCGAATAAGATACATTTGTTTCGAAATTTGTTTTGACGGTTGTACGCTCATCGTTATCATTATCTTGATTAGATGGGATTGCCTGTTCCGTTGATGAGGGTAGTGCTTGTGACGAACTTGTTGTATTTAACTTATCTTCGGAATCAATAAACGGAACATTAGCAAATTGATCGGCATTATTGGGCGATGTTTGGTCAATAGGCGAATCCTTTTTATTGTTATGATCCCCATTTGTTTGATCAGCTTTCAAATGTTTCTCTTTGTTCTTTCTTGATTTTGATGTGCACGCACCCATTTGTCTACCGTTAATGTCTGTTCACTTTGTGCCTTGTTTTTCTTTCAAAGATTGCTTCACTTAGTATTGATCAACGTAAGAAAGGAACAGAAGATGAAAATGGCAGTCGTACTGGTAATAAAAGAGTGTTTTGTCATTAAGGCTGTTCTCGCTCTTCTTCTTCTTCTTCTTTTTCTTTCTTTCTTGTTGTCTCTTTATGTTTCTCTTTCCTTTTTTTTTCGCTGTGAATTTCTATACTCGCAAAAAAAAGAACGAGAAAAGAGGAGAAATTACTTCTCTTGTATCAGATTGATGAACTTTTTCATCAACACGCAAGCTGTTGCTTGCATGGCATCCATAAGTCGAAGGGCCGTTCGCGGGTCGAGAGAGAAGGAGAGCGCACACGAGGAAAAGGAAAAGTAGCAACAGAAGCTTCTTTTTTTCATTTCAAAATAAATTACATGTACGCCTCGGGTCGAGCAATTCCAATTTCTCTTCACTCCTCTTCTTTTTTCTGTCGCGTATTTTGCTCGTTTCGCCTATGACTTTGATCCTCAATATGTTATAATTCTCGTGAGGCATTACTCATTCTCATTTCTTCGTATACTCATCTACGGTTTTTCTTTATCTCTCACTATCTAACATATAAACAAAGGAATAGAAGTTTCATTTTCAACTTACATATGCGAAGAGAATTTGTACGCAAACACTTTGGAGAATCTTCATAATTGTTCCCTTTTTTATCATATGAATAATTGATCGGAAAAAGCACAAGGCGAATAGCATCCTGTTGAATAATACGAACAAAGCATCCCTACACCCGATGTGTCTCTTTACTTACAATGCATGCCAGAAGAAATTACTTGATTAGAAATATCATCATTCGAAATATCAACATAAACAGACGACTTGAACTTAAGATGTTTGTACGAGTAACGCTTACATATAGGCAAACACGGAACTCTCAATAAAGAGGAAATTCCATCTGAATAAGATAGAATTTGTAAGACGAAGAAAAAGAAAACGATCGAAGGGTCATCATCAATCGATAGTTGTTCATATTGATGATGCTTGCGTGCATACATCCGCTAGTGATGATGATGATCGACGATCCATTAGCACTATTCATTACTCTTCTTCTCTTCGCTGAGCAGAGAGCCCACTCAAGCGAATACTGTTGCGTGTCCAATAAGAACAAATGTTTTTTTTACTACATTACATCAAACTTCATCGCGAAGATCAACAAGACTGTCATTAGCTTTCTCTTCTTTTTAACACTTCGTTCGAGTATTTGACTTATTATCATCGTTAGAAAAGTAACGAAAAACACGCTAGCGTAAATCATTGACACGCGATCCAACCAAGCGAAGAAATAAGATATTTTTCACCTAAAATGTTTCGATGCGATGGTGATCGATAGTTAAATATTATTCAAGGTCATACGAAAGAAAATATCAATATTAAGAAGAGAAAGAATACCGCACACACACATGCACAAATAATAATACAATCCTACCTCTTCGTTGAAGTAATCTATCGAAATAATCAGCTGCAAATTCAGGAATGTTTCGTGGTTGATTGCGAAGAATTTCGGTTGACAGGCCAACAAGGAGGCTTTGAAAACCTTTCGGTAGACGTAATTTTGCAGTTGAAAATCGATTAACCATTGTAATGTTTTTCAAAAGAAGATGTGCAAAACAAATCTCGAAAGATTCCTCTACAAATACATAAACTCCATCAAAAACTAATAAAGAAATGATCTCCGCGACAAGTAAAACCACTTGAGATTAGAAAATGACAATGACACAAGAAAGAGAGAAGAGTGCGATATTACATACACGTATATTTGTATTTATATAAAAATAAGCAGCGGAAACGATAGCGTGCATTGACAAACCGTAGGCGGCGAACATCAATGCAAATGGCTCAATGACAAAATCCAATGGTGAGAAAGAACAAACAGAGGTCGCAATTTCGATGAAATTATCCAGTTTTCCTATTAAATATACCTTTCGGGAATAGAAGTATTCTCCAATGGAACGAATAATTCAATTCATTTACTTATCACGAAATACAGTTGCACTCGCATTTCATTCGTCTATGTTTTGAAATAGGATATATTTATTTACTTTCGTTCGTTCGTTCGTTCGTTTTACGTTTCCCTGCTATTAATATGACATTCGTGTAACTATGCCATAAGTTACGTCGAGAAATTCTTTTTCAGACATCAATATTCCGTTGTCTTGTAAAATGACTGACAAATCTGCTGCAACTTCCTGTAATGAGTAAATTTTCTCTCGTGCGTATGAAAAAAACCGACGACAAATTTTAATGTTTCATAGCAACAACTGATAATTGGAATGTCAATTACTACAAAGCACAAAAAGTACCCTCGCCTAATTACACATCAAGCCGAACAAAGCCTATCACTGTCAGACATGAAAGAGAAAAAAAGACAGATTTCAATAGTAACTTGTATTTTAAAAACTTTCTTATTTATAGTGTCTTGTTCTTCATGGAACAGCTGGTGGTGGCACGATCGAATGGTTCTTAAATCCTGCGAGTAAAGTTTCAAGTCATTACGTTGTCGGACAGGATGGTCGAGTGACTCAAATGGTGCACGAAAGTGACACTGCATGGCACGCTGGTGTTGTTTCACCAACATCAATCTTCGCTAACAAAGGCAATCCGAATCAATTCAGTATCGGAATTGAATTTTCTCGGAATAAAACGAATGATAATATCATGCCCGACGTACAAATCTCATCCGGATTAGACTTAGTGGAAAATATTCGCACACGTTATCCAAATATTGCCATTTACTTTCACGATGAGATTTCCATTGGACGGACTTGTCCAGGACCAAATTTTCCCAAAGAAATTTTTCGATCATAAACCGATTATTTGTGAGTTTGTTTTTTTTTGTCAAAGTGATGAATTTTGCTGAGATACTTTCTGAATAGGACAAGATGTGTGACATAACTTCATGCGAGTAAATGTTATTGATTAGAAGAACTATTCTCTTGTCATTTGACACATTCGCTCACTGTGCTAAATTTACAGTCGACTACTATTAGAGGAAAAAAGAACAATTGCCAGATCTTTCATTACGTGGATAATTATCTGGAGGGTATGGAAAGAGACATGTAAAGAAGGTCGAATGAGGAGATAAGTCTTTGAACAAAAAAAAAATGCTATTCATATGTCAGCACTTTATGTGCGGAGAAGTGCCAGGAAAGAAGTAAAATGAGCATGGAGAAGAGAGCTTGACGGTGCTCATTTGGAATTTGATGAACGACGGACTTGGTTATTATTAATAACACTTTCGTCTTTTTCCTCACTCTAGAAGTTGATCATGATTGTAGAGTCAAAATTATAAAATCTCCTATAATAAACAAATAATAGAGTTCGGTTAATAGATTCTCAGTGAACAATTTTTATTCTCTTTTCAACAGAGCAAAAACTTGGATTTTATTCGTAAAATCGAGTAGATCTGACTTGAAAAAGATCGGATTACATTTCTAACGATCACCTCGTCCACGTCCGCCAGCTACACCACCACGATCATAACCTGGTGGACCAGCACCACGGCCGCCTGGTTGTCCACCGAATGAATTCATAGGTGGCCGACCACGTGCTCCTCGTCCACGAGCAATTTGCGCACGTAAAATAGCTGATTTACCTCGACCAGCACCACCTTTAACACCACGCATATTTTTGAACATTGGTGCATTCTTTCAAAAGAAATCAAAAGAAAAAACAATGTTCAGTAAATCGTTAAGAATGTTTACTTTTAACATATCAGGAAAAATCATAAATCGAATTTTCGATCCACGAACGTAGATGTATTCAAGTTGTGCTTGTCGACCATCTCGATAGGTAACAGTGACGTTCGACAATTGACAATTCATGTTGTCTTCAGCTTCAATTAGTTTACCACGATAAACTTCTGAAGTTACAGATTCGATCGTTACCACATGTCCTTCAGCTTCATGGAGAATTTTAATCGGAACACCAATCGACATTTTTTAGTCTGAAATCTAAAACCAAAGAAACAATTGATTCAATCAATTCTTATTCTCTTGACATTGATAAAGCACTCGTACAGACAGGCAGACAAATGCGTTTTCCATCTACTACAGATATGACTGATTGATTCATCTGGCCTGTAAAAACCAAAAGGAAGAATCCATAGATTATCTTTCGCCGTATTGAAGATGTCGTTGGTACGTGGAGACATCTCACGTATATTAAATAATCACTTTTTACGTATATTGTTGCTATTTATAGATTCTACTCAAAAAACATAAGGAATGTTAATAACAAAACAATTGATCCATATCTGACGTGATTTATTGAACTTCTTTTCATGAACCAATGTTGTACAATCCATATTTGTCTTTTGAAAGCGGATGCTGAGTCTAAACAATAAGTCGGTCGATGAAGATCTTCCGGCTCAATGATTTTTAGTAGATAGATCAAGAGGAACAAATTTTATGACTTTTCAATGAACTGGAATTATCATAATTGATTTTTCTTCTCCCACTTTCATTTCCTAGATGAGTTTTGTTAATGAAGCGAAAGAACTATATGATAATCACAAAGACCGAGAAAACAAACAACAATTCTTACTATTTGGAAAACATGTTTTTTTCTCCTATTGCTTCGAAGAATTGAGCAGAGAAATAAATGAGATCCTTCGAGATTTTGTTCTTTTTACAAACAAATCCGCAGAGAGATATTTTTGTATAACGCAGTTCATCTGGCAAGAAGAATGAACTTAAAAGAGTAATGGTTCGTTTTCCTCATCGAGAGAGGGACGTATTTTATTCAACACTTGTTGGTTTCTTGGACGATTGAAGAAGATTTATGATTATCTATCTCTTGTATGACAATTCACGTCATTCCTCGATCTCAATTTCGAATCAAGTTGATTGATGAGAAGATATTCTTTTCTGAAAAGATCGTTTCTTTGAAAACACACATTCATTATTACACAAAACTACTCAAATAAAAAAAAA